CCACATATCAGTGCCATATCTCGAAAATTCCTCAGGCCGCAGTAGTGTCCAGGTTTGGGGCTCCCGCCAACGTTTCTGGGCCATAAGCAACGTCCTGCCTGCACGGAGCAACGGTAAAGGGTCAGGTGAACTCGTGCTTCAGCGTCAAGATGCTTTCTGGGTCAATCCTGGTAGTTGGATCGACAACGACGATAGGAACTGTAGGGAGCCGCCGATGCATGCCACTCGCATCTCATCCTACGGATGTCCAACGAAACAAAAAAAAGTAAATGCAAGGCAGGCACTTCCTACATGACCAAGTATTTCAAACATCTGAGGACTGTTTCTCGCCCATCTCATGTTTCGCAATGTCAAAATGTGATGTGAGGGGTCCAAGATCGGAAATCGAGGCCAAGCCGGTGTCTGGCCGTGCCGCACCTCCGATGCCATCATCACCTGGGCGGCCTTGATCTTTTCAGCCGCTCAACCTCAGTGATCCAACTACCCTCGGGTGATGAGCTTTCACGTGAATATTATTTCGCCACTCTTTCTCTTTGAAGCTACGCTGAATCTGCTCGCGTATCGTCCTGACGCATATGGAGACACAATTCGGCAATCTTTCCCGCCAATCGTCGTCACGATTGCGCCGTGACCATGGAACGCTGCGTCCGAGTACCCATTGAAGGAACATGATGTAAGCGTATCACATCGCGAATGCGAGCGTGAGTACCTTATACCATCGTCAAATGGTCGGGATCCTAGCATAAGAGATGAAGCAGAATCCTGCGCCGATCGATTACGATTAGCGCACATCCCAAAGAAGAAAGACAAGATTAATCGACGAGTCATATAGCGTCGAAGACCAACAATTGGGCCGGAAATTTCGCCCACCCCCTGCCTGAGGATCTGTGGCGGTTCTTGTTGCAGAATAAATCTGATGATGATATCAATGGCCAGTGTTCCTTGCATAGGCAAACGCGAAGGATGCAAACGCCAGCCAATCTTCTATTTTTCTAATACAATATTGCGGCTGGCTGTTTAGGATGTACCGGACCCCCGAACCAGCGTTCGTCACGGACGGCATTCGTTTGAATGTCACTCCTTGTACCTGGAGTCAGGGGATACGGCGTGACATCCCAGAATGAGTCCACTCAGGAACGGCGCGGCCGAGCATACCTCGGAGCAAAGACGAACACAACTTTCAGTCCTTTTGAATCAACAACTGCAGTAAGCGGGAGCTGAATGTTGCATGCGAGAAGGTTACCGGATACATGGAAGGTACAAAAGCAATCCCTTGCGCAACGCCCTCACCGCCGTAGTGGAACTTACAATCGTGGCACGCACGAGCAGCATGTGGAGCGGATCCTAAAGGTCGGAAATCGGTCGTGTCCAGGTCGCGTGTCTTTCAACGACACCCCTGCATAGAGTTTGGGCGAGGACCTGTCAAATGCAACCATCCGCTAATCGAAGTTCGCTTATCACCTAGCGTGGAGCCTCCAGCGCGTCTCCACCTGCGTTAGCCCTGTGTGGACGGCATAAAGCTCGTGCTTGGCAACGGCCCTGAATCGTCCACAGTAGCCTTGTGGGAGGCGGCAGACGGTATCCTGTCAGTCATTAGGGCTTGCGGTCCCGCCGTGCGGCGTGGGTCACAGCCCTTATAACAATTCTGCACCTTCCAGAACAGCGCCGGCGCTGGCGTTGACATCAAGACGTTCATCAAGATGGCAACATGGGAGGAAATGTATACGCAGATGCTGCTGGACGCCCCGGACCCAGATGAGCCGCTGCCTTTGGCAAATCACAAGGCGACCATGTTCGGTACTACGCTCACTTTCCTGGTATGATTCTGTGATCACACTCAATGCTTCGACCACTAACCCCGCAAATAGATCGTGGCATGGTGCGCAGTCATTTTTCGTCTCTGGGTCCGCATCAAGATCGTGAAGGAAGTGGGTTGGGATGATGGCTTCGTGTTGCTTGCTCAGGTACGTTTCATTGTGGCTTAATACCAATGACATAAAGTTAATTCGTCTTCTAGTCCCTGAATACTGCAGCGACTGTTGTCATGTGTCTTTCGGTCAATACTGGACTCGGTCACCATATGCTGTACATTGGCTACAACAATCTAGTAGAGTACTTGAAGGTGTGTATTTCCCTTGATTGGCATGTATGGTTCACTGACCAAGCTAGCTGTACTACATCGAACTAGCCCTATACATCACCAACTGCGCAGTGATCAAGATTGCTCTTCTCCTCCAATACCTCCGCATCTTCAAGTCGGGGCCTATGCGATGGGTTTGCGTTGGCCTCCTTGTCGCTGTGACTCTCTGGGGTATTGGCTTTTCTTTCGCTGGCTGGTTCCCCTGCTTCCCGGTCCGCGGCTACTGGAATCGCATCATTGAGGCAAAGTGCTATGGCTTTGGGCTTGGAGATTTGGATAGCTTTATCGCTATCTACAAAGCGCATTCGGCCACCAACATGATGTTCGACATCTTTATCTTCCTTGCACCTATGGTGTTATTCCGAACACCGAATTTGCGCTACAAGAATGTGTTGGCAATGGCTGGCGTATTCACCTTTGGTGCTGTGTAAGTTACTCATAACTCAAGGAGCGAGCATTTCATGCTAACTTACACGCAGTGTTGTCGGAACATCAGTATGGCGACTCCATGGCATCGTCGAAACCAAAGGCGCAACCTCTCCCTACGTCGACTACACCTGGTGGTCACCCACTCTCATCATACTCTCATGTCTCGAGATTGATCTCGCCATAATCTGCGCCTCAATGCCCATCTTCTGGCCCATCATTGAGAAGTCATTCAGCGCCATTTTCGTTAGCTACGAAGTCCAGGTCGTGGAGGAGCGCGTCGATGATTACGGTCTCACATACGAGCTCGAGCATATGAAGGGAGAGGACAGACCATGCAGTATCAAGAGTAATGGGACGAGTACACAAGAGCTGACGAACGAGGATGAGGAGGCACATCCGAGGGCACAAGTATTCACCGTGGGCTTCGATCCGCTGAACGAGGAGCAAAAGGCTAGCGGGCTGAGTACGAATGTCCACTCGAAAGCACAGCCAAAATGGCAGCTCTAAATGATAATGCATATACATGTCGCACACTTTGGTTACGTATATTCGTACTACGTCCACGTTACTCGTTGTGTCAGTCTATAACAGTAATGTCTTCTCAGCACCTTGACCTTTCAACTCTGAGCTGCTAGCAACTAATTGACAAAACACTGTAGGCACCTGATACGTCATCTCACGATACAGCTTGGGCCACGACGAAGCTCTTGTCTCACACCCCACACTTGCATATGCATACCATAACTCTAATAAGACCCGCCCTAGAATCATGAAACACAAAACCACCGAAAATCCTTGTCGGCACATGCACAATACTGCCTTGTTCTTTCCCATGCAAATGTACCTTACCTAGAGTACGACCGAAAAGCACATTCGCTGTTCGGCCCAAGTTGCAATTGTCGCAAAACCACCGCTTATCATGGACCGCCCTGGACCCATTCGGCTTGTCTCACGCTACTACTCTAGTGGGCATGTACTCCGTGGGGGCAAAATTTCTCCGGGCCTTTAGTGGGGTTGCAGTCTGATGAGGACGACGGCGGAGCGCATGTGGTGATGAAATAGACTTGTGCTGTGGATTCCATGTGAATCCTCGGTATGCGAACAATTGGACGGGAGGGGAAGGGAGGAAGGTGGAAAGTCTAGCGGTTAGGTGGTTGTGGTAAGGTTAGACCATTCGGTCCGATTAGAGGCATATCGATAATGAAGCTGGCTGAGGAAGACGATCTGGTTCTGGGCCAAAAGCCTCAATCAAAGAGGCGTAAGAAAGCTGAGCGAAGATGGTGTCTACGTGGCAGAAGGGTGTGTAGGTTGGTGGTGTGTAAGCTGGCAACCATACTTTTTACATCCACGTCTTCGCTGTATTTGTCAAGCCTTTGCTATCAATGGTGTCGTTTGTCGCATCCTCTTTACTCAAACAGCTCTTGTGTCACTGATTCGTCTGTTTACGCAATCGGAAGTCATTGACCCTGATACCTCTAAAGATATTTCGGCTTGCTATTGCCGTCTATCCAGGTTGGTCTCTTACGTGGAGTCAACGATCTTCCAAAGATCTTCAGGTATAGTACTGAAACGCGATTGATAATTTGAAGGCAGGTTGGTTGCCTTGTTTCGGCAATTAATACTACGATAGCCGCGTGCCGGCTCAGTTAGACTTTGCTGGACGGCGCGGTGTTGAGAAGCTAGCGGTTAAATAGATGTGTAGTGGTTTGAGGACGATGCTTTTAGCTTTCGATGCTTTTACGAGGTGCACTTGCTTTTGCAGATCCGGGTGCGCATCACCCGCCTGACCGGTCAGGCACCCAGCAGAGCTTATGTTCCCGGACAGTGCGTTGTGGCGTACACACCTGAGGCAGACCTAGGATAATAGCGTATCCTTATGAGGAGGGTTATAAGTAGGGTTCAGACAGTACGTGCAGTTTGGTAGCGGACTGCACCATTGCGTCGAGCGCCGTCCTATCGCATTCTGCTGGAAAGTACTTTTGCAGGTCAAGGTTGGATGAGATGGCAAAGGTGGTGGTGGTTTCCAAAGATAGATGTTGCTGGACGCGTGGGGAGACGCGACTTAGCGCGAATGGATCGGGAAGTGGGGATACAGTCAGTACCGTACACGTTTCCACATCTCACATGGGCACACAATATATGACTGACATCACAGAACAAGACAAACTTCGTGATGCTTAATTGATTGTTTAACAGGAAGTACGACGGTAATATCACAAACTAAGTCATTGCATAATGAAACCAGGTGAAAGGCGCGTTGTGGTCAAGTACTGGTGAGAACGAGTTAGCGAGCGCAATAGCGTGTCCGACCAAACATTCTATCGTCTGCTATCAGCTCACGCCTCGTCGCTCAGCTCAACACTGAACTCGAATTACCTTTCAAGCATCCAGAAATCCTTTCGCAGAACGGTTACCAACCTCTCAACACGTCATGACGTCGCCCTCAAGTGAACGTATCATCATAGCTGACACTGGTGATGTCATCTTCACGCTACGAAATCCAGGTGCACCATTTGCTGTATGGGATCAGGCTGTCGAAGAAAACAGTGAGATTCAAGATCCAGAAGATGAGCATAAAAACGGGCCGTTGAACGATGCGACTTCCGATACATGTGCAGACGACCTAAACCAACCTGTGCCAAGGCAAGCCGCTCTGCCGGATGTTATCTACCAGGTCTCATCACAACACCTGGTATGCGCTTCGCCGAAATTCAAGAGTGAGTTGACATCATGGAGTGAGAGTCTAAAGCGGGATGATGGCCTTTATCATGTAAACACCACAGATTGGGATCCGGAAGCCTTCGGCATATTGTTGAACGTCTTACATCTCCGCTTTCGTCAGGTGCCAAAGTCACTCGGTTTGGAGCTCCTTGCTAAGATCGCCATCTTGGTGGATTACTACAGATGTTGGGAGGCTTCCGATTTGATTGCTGACGTCTGGATAACGCACCTGCGGGCAAAATGCTCAGTTCCGGAAACTTATAGCCGCGATCTGATGTTATGGATACTTATCTCTTGGGTGTTTAAGCTGGAAGGGGAGTTCAATGAATCCACTTTTTGGGCTTCGATAAAGAGCGATGAACCAATTCTACGAAACATGGAGTTGAGCATCCCACCAGCTATCCTTCGTAAGTGATATCCACCAGATAATACTGGCAGGCGCTAACTGTGGTAGGGGGAATAGAGACTTGCAGATCAGAACTGATCGAAGGAGCGATAGATGTCTGCCAAGGGTGGTTCGACAAGTTCTGCAGCGGCTATTGCTGTATTCAAGATGAGAAATGCTCCTTCGAGTGTGGCTCCATGCTTCTTGGCGCCCTCACAAGACAAATGAACAATATGGCCATACTGTCACCGCGACCAACTGCACCTTACGCCGGACTCAGTTTCGCCGAACTTCGGTATGGCATCAAGTCTATTAAAGCGCCAGATTTGCACATCCGTTACGAACGCCGCTCTCGCAGTCCAGAGTATCGAAGACATCCCTGTTCCCTTGATGCAGTCATCCGTGAAGTCAATCAGGTATATAAACGAGCAGACGGACTAAGACTGCGCGAGTTCGTGGACCGTGCTGAGTCTACAACGGACATAGTTTCCCGCCACTCTGAACTTCAGTGATGATCATTGCGCACTGTGCGTCCACGTCTGGCGGTCTTTGGAGAGCCTACGGTGTGTAAGATCAAAATCCAGGAATAGTTTGGCGAACGAACTCAGCGCACACTCTTGAATGTCCAGTAACAAAGAATCTTTGCTCAAACTCTATAACTGAGTGTTTTATCCAGTCTACTAGTTTTCGTTAGACACCCTGCCACCGATCGTGCGTCGTTTTGAGCGCTGGACCAAGATATTTCTTCAAATGTGGCACAACAGTCTGACCTTTCGCTTGCTAGGGAACAGAATCCTTTCCAGTAAGGCTGTTTGAACTTGACAGCCCTTGCAATCAGGCTACGTCCACTAGCCCACTTGTATTAGAAGCTTTCAAGACATTCGATAAGCTTGATATGCCTGTAACTGAGCCTGAGCTACGGAGATCAACGCCTTCGTGAAAGAAAAACCGCAGGTTAAGATACGAAGGCACAGGAATCATGTCGTGCGACTTTGTCATGTTTTTCTGGCGCACATGGGCAGATGATAAAGTCCTCCACTTTGTGTCATTACTCACGATACTCCATGACGGGAGTTCATGCTTAAATCATGAGTCGTATAGTCGACTGATTACCCCTTCTATCGTATTTTGGTCGAGTCCACATCAACCACTGGTACTGCGATGACAAGTTCAAACCCTCGGAACTGCGCTGTGATATAACACAAAGACCTTCGCGCCGTTAAAACAATACAACACGTTGCCACACCTCATATCATATTCTTGACTCGACGCAAACCATCACTGCACAGTACTACGTATGGGTTGCATGATGTCTTCGTCTTCTGGCGTAGTGCTTCGTCCTAGGTATGCACTTCCCAGTTCAGAACAACGCAATACTGACATTTGCACAGCATGGCGGCGGGCTCAAACACCATTGTCATCAAAGTCGGTCCAAATGGTAAGGAGTACAACCTACATACCGGCCTTCTCATACACCACTTAGGCTACTTTCGTGGAGCACTTTCTGGCGCATTTAGAGAAACCGATGACGGCGTGGTTCCACTCCTCGACGTTGACACCGATGCCTTTGATGTGTTTGTTGATTGGGCGTACCAAGATACTTTGAGGGAAGACTTGGAATACATCCGACACAGTTACAAGAGTGGCTTGGCCACCGCGTGCCGAGCTTATGTTCTGGCCGACAGACTGCTAGCTCCTGGCCTGAAGTCCGCGCTGATAGATGCTTATTTCGACAAGGATATCCACAACCTGGACAGATGGTACCCTAGTTGCCGTCGTGTCATTCACGCTTACGAACACCTCGCCGAGAACGATCCGTTGTTGCGCCTTTACGTCGACCTTTGGGCTATTAGCAATATTATCTATAAGATGGACGCGTATGACAAGGTTCTAATGCCGGACTTGCCAAAGGCATTTCTCGTTCATTTGCTGCGCAAGATGAATGAAGTGGGTTATAAGCCACTGCTGAGGTCGAAATTGGAACGCAAACACTACAACGAGGTTGTAATGACTCAGAGATAGGAGAATGAACTAGTTCTCAAATATGGAAATCTACTACGTACTGTCTTGAAGCGAGGCTCTATCCAAAGTTGGTCCGCATCCGCCATCTATATTGAGAAAACACTATTAGTTAGTTACAATAGCCAACGCTTGCTGTGCTATGCGCCATACCCTACTCTATTGGTGAATTTCAAACAGCCAATCTGGCTTGATATATCTAGTATCGTATCCCAACTGTCAACCAGCAAAGTGAAGGTAGGAAAAAGACGGTAATTGTCAGATACAAGTGAGAGAGCAAAAGGTCTTACTGGCTATCATTGAAGCTATGGCTATAAGGAGTGATGGTTTCTACAAGTTGCGTTTAGATATCTTTCTAGTTACACAACCTCTACTATCCACCCGAAATATACTTTCAGTCAAGAGCAAGATCTACGCTCGCTAGCATTGGCGGTGTTTAAACATGTCCGATACCCAGAACGGCATCGTGAAGAAAGTCGGAGCACCTCGTGCAAGGCAAGTCACGACTGTCCGGACTCGAAGCACGTTACTCATGTCGAACGGTGCCGCTACCACACCTGACATTGTCGTCATCCTTGTCGAACCCAAGCAGAAGCGTTATATACTACACAAATGAATATTGACTCACCACTTCGTGTTCTTTCGCCTCAGACTCATAGAAGGAGTCAGTCAGTGCAGCGTCCACGATATCCATGCTGACGGGTTTGATGTTTTCGTAGATTGGATCTACGAGAGAACATTTTACTTCAGCTCATTGTAGACACATTTTGTGTCAACAGCGGCGTGGAAGCAATGATGCTAGAATCTCGCAAGTCTCGAGCAATTGCCAGCAGACTTTCTTGCCCGTGGATTGCAAAAGCTGCACCAACTAAGCAAGCTACCTAAAGCGGACCGGGTCCTTTCACACAAGGATTATGATGTGGCTGTTTGCATGCCGGAAGAGGGTTCAGATGAAAAGTAGCTGGCTTGCAAGCTGCTGGAATGACTGGAAGGAGTGAAAATGACATCCGGGATAAAGAACACAAGTGCGGATGGCCTTTTCATTCGCACAGCATCGACATGCTTGGCCTCTTGGAAGATTGAGAGTGAAAAGCAGAGTGCGGTCTCTATGATTAAAAGCGTCAACGATTACGTAGTGAAAGGAGAATAAAGAAGGCGTTGGTCTTTGTGTGTCGCAACTGCAAACATGGCCCGTGCTTACATAATAAGTGAGGCTCCGCTGCCTTGTTAGCGGCGCGCTACGAGCTTCCCCAGTGCCATTCGTCATTTCGTATGAGCAACATTACCATCACTTCCGTCAGCTGTCTTCCAACCTACGAACACTGCACTGGTCATCTACACGTCGTCGCATTTGGTGCTCGGTTTAATCCTACTGAGAGTGAAATATTAGCGCCCAACGATCGTAGTTTAATTACCATTCACGGCCCGGAACATTCACGTTAGCCCGGTAAGTCAAGGGCGGCCCGTCAAATGGTTCTTGGTTACTAACTTTCCTTCCAGACACCCAGCCTTTCCTAAGCCACCATGTCCGACGCCGAAATTGAACAGAAGCGCGAGGAGGATGAGCGCCTCGATACCGCGGAAGACCCCAACGAAGAGGTACGATACAATCCACAGCGACGCGCTTGGGACACTCTTTAGAGAGACGACACTATCAAGAGCTGCGCGCATATACGAAGTCTGGTCATGAAGGGCATCATGCTAACAGCGCAACACAGGAAGAGATCTCAGCAATGAGGCGACGCGTACAAGAGATGGAGGAAGAAGCCCAGAAGCTGCGCCAAATGCAGAGCGAGACCGATCTCGAACGCCACGAAATGCGCGAGAGTAAAGAAGACGTCGACGCGCGAAGTGTCTTTGTTGGCAATGTCGACTACGGCGCGAGCCCCGAAGAGATCCAGGCACACTTCCAGAGCATCGGGAGCATCAACCGTGTCACTATATTGCTGGACAAGTTCACCGGTCATCCTAAAGGGTCAGTACTAAGAGGAGGTTTTCTTTGACGATTTGCGCATTTCCTACTTTTGTTCTCGCCGTTTTAACAGTTCGCGTGCAATTAGTCGCGTAGCGCTGGAGTCACAGTAGTTGCGAAAGTATCTTTCGCTACCTGGCAAGAGTTTGGCAGAAAGATCGGAACGCTAATGAGCGTATGCAGGTATGCGTATGTGGAGTTCACAGAACCACATCTGGTCAATGAGGCCTTGGTCCTCGACAACAGCCAATTCCGGAGCCGGAATCTAAAGGTACGAGACACAGAACAATCCACGCCAAACCGCAGCATGGAATTAACTGTCATCCAGGTTGTCCCCAAGCGAACGAACCTCCCCGGTATGACACGAGGCGGACGCGGCGGCCGTGGTGGCCCCCGAGGCGGATACGGCGGTCGCGGTTCACCGTATGGACGTGGCGGATACGGTGGCGGCTACGGCGGCGCTCCACGAGGAGGCGGCTACCGTGGTGGATACCGCGGCGGAAGAGGCGGATCGGCATACCGCCCATACTAGGTGTGACACGAGATTGGCACGCACTATATACCACGAGACTTTGGTCGCCTTTCCTATCACTATTGGGGCTTCAGGCAGGGCAGGCGAGGGACACACAAAATTGGATGGGAATCGTGGTGGAATTTGTAAGACTGAGGCTTGTACTATTAAGGTGATTGTTGGGAACATGTGAGGGAGCAGTAATTGGGCTGCTAGACTTCTTATCACCGGAACTCTGGACGACCAGATGGGTTTAATATATCTTACATCATTCTGTTGCATGGTATTTTCTTTGACCTATGAGTATTACGTTGGTCGGACAAGGCAGTAGCTTTGGTCTCTTACGGATCTCCTTCGCTACGGTAATTTCACGTCTCTAGTCTTGAACGCACTGGGATTCTGAGCAACAGTCAACGGGTATGTGTAAATCATAGATATTACTTCGTAGGCAATATGCCAGAAGACTAAGAAGAAGTCAGGTATCATAGCCACATAGGGCTTTTCTCCCCATCTAAGCACCCGTGCTATGCTCGGTTGCTGCCCCAAACGCCAGAATCCCCGTCGTTCTCGTCAAAAACGCTCTGTCCTAATCGCGCCGAAGCTAAAAAAGTCAAAGCAAAGAATGCAGAAGCACACTGCCCTCGCCTAGACAATACCCAAGAGCTTATCGACCTGCGAGACAATCGCTTGTACTTCTCGTTTACTCAATCCGGCCAAAACGTTCTTGTCAGATTTTCCATCAGCCTTCTCGGGCTGTTTCTTCGTCTTTTCGTTGGCATACTACGGCGCTGGGTTTTCCTTGACGATCTGCTTGACCTTTCGCTCGTACGCAGCCTTGTCTTTCTTGAATAGGTTGAATGCGTCGGCTTGCGCTGGGGACTCTGGGTTGGGCTCGTCAAGAAGTGATTGGATGCCGAGAAGGATCTCCTTGATGTTTATCGCGGGCTTCCAGCCTTCTTCCTCGTTTAGGATGGACAGGCAGACGGTGCCGGATGGGTAGACGTTTGGGTGGAATAGCGGGGGTACGAATTTGCCTGGTGTGCGCGTTAGCGACGTTCATGAAGATGTTGTGAGGATTCCGAGAACGGAGGCCGCTCATAAGAGGTCGTGGACGTACACTTCGGAGGCTTTGTCGGGTACTCGTCGGGAAATGCGACCTCAAGCTTGAACAAGCCACCTTCCCATATAGTTTTCTCCTTGCCAGGTACACCGCATTCCCATCGTTTAAGATCCATCATGCCGTTGGAGCCGCGCATTGGCTTTGCGAAGAAACCGAAGGGGTGGTCTCGTCGCCATGACTTTCTGGCGTCTGAGTTAGCAAGAAAATGACTTATTGGAAAGGAATGGCGCCTACCTCTCTTCTGAGAGTCGGTTTACGCAAAGAGACATGGTGAGGCTGTAGGTATAAGCCTGTTGCGCCTCTAGCTTGTCGGGTGGGTTTGTGTAATGGAGTATTAGCGAAGCGAGTGGTCGAGACAGAAGGGTCTGGATGTCGCAAACGGAGATTAACGGACTGCAAGGTGTGGCGTCGCGCTTGTATGTGTCTTGCGAGTGTGGTGAAGGTGAAGATGAGACACTTTCGAGAGCCAGGTGAAGTCGAGTTACGGTTGCACGTGACTGACAACAATTATCGGGCGCCGCAGCGTTGGGATTCGGGCTAGATCCCGTCGCGAGGTGGAAGGTGCGATGCGCGATCTGCCCCGCGCTAGACTTTGGCCTGTTGCCCCGCTTATGTGAACGAATGCACATTACGGGCCGAGGCTGACATGGCACATGCCTATTCCAAACAGCTACGATCTGCCTCACCTGTTCCTATTCCTGTTACTCATACTTCAAGTAGCCTTTACCTATATCTAGGAGTAGGTCTAAAGCAACATGGCGGACGCAGCCGTGAAGAAAGAAGAGCAGGAGCCTGCCAAACCTACAACCACTACCACTGCCCCTCCACCCGAGGTAGCGTCAGATCCCGAAGAAGATGACCTCTCCGACCTTGACGATGTGCTCGATGAGTTCGCCAACACCAAGCTAGACGCCAAAGCTCCTACCGCCTCGTCGATAGAAGCAGCATACCCCAAGTCCAGCAATGCGCCGTCATCCTCCGGGCCCGGAAGGCCACCCTCGGACATCTCTCCTGCCGAACTCATGATGGAAGACCCAGATGCGTTCCAGGAACAGTTGAAGAAAGAGATGGAACAGCTGCTCGGTCAAGGCGACTTCCAGAAACAGTTCGAGGATATCATGAAGGAGATGAGTGAGGAGATGGGTGGCGCGAACCCACTGGCAGATCCCGGACATTTGCATGCCCATGCGCAAACTGATGAAGGTGCAAGTGAAACGAAGGAGAAGGCGGCACCCAGTCAGTCCGAAAAGGAAACCGCTGCGAAGGCGGAGAAGAGCTTCCAGGAAACCATCAAGAAGACTATGGAGCGCATGCAGTCTTCCTCCGATACCGCAACCTCCGCAGCCGCATCCTCGTCCCAAGACGACATCCTTGCGCAGATGCTCGCATCCATGGAATCTGGTGGCTTCGGTGGCGCTGGCGAGGGCGGCGACGAAGACTTCAGTAAAGTGCTCATGAGCATGATGGAGCAGCTTACCAACAAGGACATCCTCTACGAGCCCATGAAGGAGCTAGACGACAAGTTCCCAGCGTGGATGGAGAAGAACAAGGAAAAGACAGAGAAGGACGACCTGAAGAGATACGAGGAACAGCAGACTTTGGTTAGGGAGATTGTAGGGAGGTTTGAAAGGAAAGGGTACAGTGACGACAACGCACAGGACAGGGAGTATATTGTGGAGAGGATGCAGAAGGTATTTGATTACTTTCTGACGCATGATGCGAAAAGGTGCTAATGCTATCTAGATGCAAGCCGCTGGCTCTCCCCCACCCGACCTTGTCGGCGATATGAACGCTGCGCAGGAGGCGCTTCAGGATATGGATCAGGGCTGCCCGACTCAGTAATCTCCTTGTGCGATAGCTCGTCTGCTTGATTCTTTCCAGATACCCAATGTATACATGATGCCTTCCCCTAGGTAAATTATCTTGATGACCTGTCAACAATCCTGTCTTACAACATGTACAAAGCCTTCAAGCCGTCATCCCAGGACCAATATTATCAACGTATCGATGTTCCTTTCTTGGACAGCCTTCAGCCGTCGGTCATGTCCATGTCCATCATGTCTTCACCTCCAAACGCGTCTTGTGCGTGTTGCGGTTGCTGCTGATTTTGATCATGCCCCGCCGTCGCGCACTCCATGAATATCGCGTCGTAGTCGTCATCGTCGCTACCGTAATGCTGTGATCGTGCATCCGATTCTTGCTCCATCGACGCGATCAATTGTTCAAGTTCATACTCCTCTTGTGCAGCGACGTAATCGGCTTCGGTCATCTCGGGATCGTGTTGAGGCGCGTAATTCGGGAGTTCAGGAAGCTCCGCATCGTCCAACATGTATTCGATGATGTCATCGTTCTCTTGGGGTGCTTGACGCGCTTTTTGGGCTTCCCATCGTTTGCGCTCAGCCACGAAGTCTAATTGCTGAATCTGCATCGTCAATTAGTATCGCTGCTCTTGAGGTATGTAAATCAATTTCGCGTACCTGTTCGCCCCGTGATTCCCATTTCTTGTCGTCTCGATTGTTCTGCACGCGCTTGAAGAACATGTCCCTCCTTCGCTTTGTGGTGGCGTCGCGCGTCTGCATCACCGGATTGGCCTTGAAGGCGCGTTGCGGCATCGCAGATTTCTCTTTGAGGGGTGACGACATTGTGAAGTTGAAGGCTCGTGGGCTTGCATTTGCAGAGCGCTCGGAGAGTGGTGATGATCGCGGTGGCGTATATGCAGAGTAGTGCGGCATTTCGTGCGAGAAGAACGATGTTGTCAGCATCATGTTTTTTCGTGTCGTGCTTTTTCAGTGACAGTATAAGGGTAAAAGCTGAGGAAGCGTGCGATGGATGTTGGGATGTGAGGGAGATTTGGGTGGATGTGGTTCGGTGGGAAATGATGATGCAGACGCGAAATGGACGGGAAGGCGCGCTCGCGCGATGGTAGGTGCGTATCGATAAGTCACGTGCCGTTGTGCTGGACTCGACATCGATCTTGTCGCACTCGGCCCAACCTTTAGGCTTCTTTTGCACCATGTATGCTTCGATATCCGCTCAAACAGCGAACAATTGACCAAAGGCCTAGGGTAACACATTTGAATTTCAAGAAGCTACCGAAAATGATACAGCTTCTGCCGGACCACGGCTGATGACACTCATCACTGATCTCGTCCTTTAGGGCTTCGCATCTTCCATCCCTTAGTTTCCAGACCTGATCGACGCGCCACATGCCGCAAATGTGGAGGTAATGGAGTTGGCGGCTGCATTTTCGCGACACGTACGTTCTTCGAGCTTGCAGTAGCCGCGGTGAATCGATGAGAGCTCCCATACATAATGACGAGAAGTTTCGGCTCGCATCCCGATGCGGAACTCTGCTCGACAATTTTTTGCAGATGTCCGAAGAGGCGTTCAATCCAACTGGAGTCATGTTGATAGGCCTTTTGAAGTGCCTCAGTTTCAATGACTATGAAAGCTGTCGGTATCTTGGAAAAGAGGAGGCAGATAAGGTCGACCCACTCGCGATCTGTATGAGCAGCGTTGATCTTCGAGAGGTTCAACTGCTCGGTAAAGTTACTGAACAAATTACTGGACTGTTGGAGTATTTGGAAGATGATGCCTTTGAACAGCGCCACCATGGTGTGCGCACTAGGAGAACTTCGAGTTGATGACAGATCCCAGAAAACGCATTGGCTATTCGGTTTCAGGTTTTCTATCACATTCGTTGCCAGTTCTTTCGCCTGTTTTTGCGCACGGAGGCCCACCTCAACGATCAGGAACGAGGGTGTGTTTCCAGAAGCCCATTCCAGAATCGTCTTTCGTATCCTCTGTCCAGCAAAGCTAGGTAAACTTGGAGTCATGCCACGTCGTACGAAGGACCTAACTTTGAGCAGTGCGATCTCGGGTAATACCTTCGGCTTAAAGAATCGCATCGCTTCATTGAATTCGATGCGATATACTGTTTGGCTTATGTTACAGACGTCGACGCTTACTCGCTCTGTAACGCTCTTGTGCGAAGTTGCAATCCGCAGCAACTGAACCACTTGAGCTCTGAACTTCTCCTGCTCATCCAGCACCTTGAGCAGCTTCACGTCAAGCTCTCGAATATGTGCATGTTGCAATTCTGTCAGAATGCGGACATCACGAACTTCGACTCGAGCCCCTGCGTTGGCGAGGTCATCCACTGCTTTCGAACACTCTCGAATATGCTCCAACAGGTCTTGGTAGCCGAGTTCGAAAGGCGTCTTGATGGCAGAACATATTCGACTAAGTGGATTCTTGTTCTACCAGCGGACGCAGAGACGCAAGAAGAGGATGATGTACGTGAACAGCTGTGAGAGAGCAGCTTCCATGTACTTCGTCTGATATAGTTCTGCACTAAGGTCCATCCGCGGCAATACGTTTGCAATGTCGATGAGAGCTTGCGACAACCTTTCAAAAAGGTTGGCTCGGTTGATAACGCCCTTTTGGACAATGCATCAGCATATTACGATTGAGAGGGCATGTTCCAACGGGTTGCGACATACCGTAAGAATGAGCTTCATAGCACCCCAAACCAGAGCTACATACTCAGGATGGTGCTGCGCCAGAGTGTCCATGACTTTGCCGTAGTACATGATGCGCGAAGAGAGTCTTTCGAGTGATTGTCTCATGCCCGTGTGCTTGCGACCCCTGCTCTTGCCGTCATATTCTGTTTTCGCTGTCTCCACCATCGTGAAAACGTCCTGTACAGATGCGTTGAATCCATTAGGCACTGGACCATCCAGGGAGATCCCTAGCTCATCCTTAAGATACTCGATTGCCGTCTGATACGCCTCTGCTGCGACGTTCCGGTTCCTACGTCTGTCAATATTGTCTCGCCTATGTGATTGGATGATCGTACTCCTGGCCTGGGACTGGTCTATACCAGGACGAGGGCGTACCGCGCACTGCTACTGTTGACATTTGAATATGCGATAGTCTTTAGTGGGAGTATCACACGCTGCTCATGATTGTTGATCCGACATGATAAGCCATAGCTGACCTTACCTCAAACAGCTTCTTGGAAAGTGGGCTGTGCAGTAGGTAAGGCTGAGGTTGTGCCGAGGGGCTGCTGCATGCTGCGCGCACATCGACACGACACATACATACATTGCAAGCTGATCTATCCTCACGCGCAGTGTTCTTCCCATCCAACACACGTCGCTTTGACTGTCTTTGATCAGATCGTACGCTCGCCATCTATTCTGTTCGCAATCCTCACGCTGACAGTATAGAGTTGCCCAGATACATGTTCGATCACTCCGTTGTATACAAGGGCTCCAGAAACCACCACCACACCACCACGGCTGCTGCGCATCCTCTTCCTCCTTCTCGTCAAGAGGAAGCTCGATATCCTGTACTGGGAACTTTCTAAATCCAGAGAGTACCCGGCGCTTTAGCTCAGACAGTCGCCCTAACGCTTTCGCTCATTATCTGGAGTTGAAATACAATGAGCGGAGCGAATCTCAGGGAACCTAAAATGGCCGCACACCAGCCAGGACTGCGCAGACCAATATTGCAGCTGGATAAGGCTGCTGCAACAAAAGCTAAACTAAGGCTTCCTGCTCGGACGTCTGATACAGTCTCGCACCTCGACAACTACCTTGAGATTCCAATACCCGAATCGCCTAGCCTCAGCAAATCTCTATCCGAATCTTTTAGTTCCGGAACGCTTGCATCTACACATGATTCAATCACTTGCTCCTATTGCCCCACAAAATTTGGTGGCATTCACCGGGAACGCGACTATGGGCGACACGGAAGAGAGAAACATAAGGTTGAGACGTTGGAAAAATCGCGGCATAAATCTCAGTCACACATCTCGGGCATTGAAAGGGGGAATGTGAGCTCTTCAGAGTCTTCTGGCGACCTTATAGGCGCTGCAATACGCGATAACGAAGTCCTTATTGAGTTCGGGAATAGTGTAGATAACGCTGACACAAACGAACCGACATCCTCTCCAAACAAGTTGATAGAAAGGCCGCTTGAGGAGGGTGTCTGGGCTGATGATTCGTTTGCACAGTTCTTTGGTGGTGGTGGTGGTGGCGGCGGTGAAGGGCAATTCGGAAACCCTGGACCGGTTGCCACTGATGGGTCCCAGCGGAATCTCAAATGGAAAGACGGTTGGAAGTCCACCTCTGCACACAAATTCTGTCGGAGAAAACTGAATTACACAATATCAGAGGATCGCACAATGCATGTGCTTGAGCGTCGCAAAGCGCGTCTGATAGCTTTGGAGCAGCCTAAGAGCCGAGTCGTAAAAGCTGACCAGCTTGCGCATGAACCTGGAAATGGTCAACGGCGGAGACCCAGGAAGCGTTACCCATGTCCCATCGTCAGCTGCAACAAGATTTTCTACCGAGAGATACACCTTGGGATTCACTTGAATGCCCACGGAGATGTGAAACCATTTGTAAGCATTCTTAGTTGAATTGAAGCTTAGCTAACATCTTCTGCAGCGATGTAAGATACCAGAATGTGGACAGTCTTTCATGCACTTGAGCAACTTTGAGGACCACGAAAGGTGGCACACAGCAGCGCCACCTTTATCTGCTTAAGCTTCCAACCACCCACTGGGTCTTGTTTCAAGGGACACTATGACACCAGATCTATGGAACGAACCGTACGGTCATGCCCTAGATGTCCCATTGCAAGAGTGCACTCACCATGATTCACCCAACTATGGTAGTATCAACTCAAACTTGCTCTCCACGTTTGTACCCACGGCACCACGATGATCACCCGAAATTCCAGCAGATCATGTGATTAGGCTATTGAAATTGAACTATATACCAAAGCACTGAATAAACGACTGTTGCCCTACAAATCTCAGGCCTTGGGAGCCCAAAAGTCAATATCTCTGTTCTCCTCATGATTGTGAGTTTCCAATCGTGAGCAACGTTTGAACATTCATAAAGATCACCTTCGCTACTACGCACGGGTATTGCCTGGATGGGGTGTTGCATCACGCTGATACAACAAGTCAAGCTTCTCCCGGTAAATCAACAATGAATGCAAACTGCGGATTATGCTAAGATTAATCATATCCGCTGTTTAGAGCTCTGTACGAGCAATTGGATGTAGCAGCTTTTTGTGATTCGTGCTTGCACTGGAGATTGCACGTGGCTCGATGAAGCCTTGTCTATATTAGGCTAGCCCACATATAAGCCACTTCATTGGTGAAGGTGGGCTTGGCTTCATCATCTGACCTCATCGCAATATCGTTGCAATAGATCCCTGTTTTACAGACACCATCCTAAGTTCAATATCGACTCATGTCTACCTAGACAGGTACCCATGGAAACCCAATCGCACAAGAAGCGGCCACGGAGTTCCAGCAATGCTTCGACAAGCAGTCTCTCTGGCTCTACAGAGCGACCATTGAAAGCTTGCAGACCCCAGCGTGGAGATATACCGACTGATGTGCCCATCGATCAACCGAATATCATACATCGGGTGAAATGCTCCCGCGCCAGCGAATACCATTCGGAACATCCTCTAGGCGCATGCTATCCCGATGTTCCAGCCTTGCCTGCAAACGGAAACCGTGCCACTGCTCTCCATGGCCAGAAGCCTTTATTGGACGTAGAGAGCTATTTAGCGGGATGGATCGAGTTCAAATTCGTGGTTTACCTTGAATACGACTGCGAAGCTTACCATAAGCGCATTGAAGATAGATTCATGCGCCTTCCAATGCCCTCGATGCCTCACAGTATGAGTATTCAATCCAAGCCTTATTTCCAGATTCTACGGTACGATGGACCGCCGGCGAAAGCGAAATCCGAGTGCATACAGCTATCAGAAAGCCTTGAGAAAGCGTTGTGCGCGCTACGCGATCACAACAAAGAAACATTCGAGGAATGGAAATTTAAAGAAGTTCACGTTTATCCATACCAAAAACTCTATCACTTTCGGAATATGTGCGTCGAACCTTCGTTGCAAGCACCAGGATGGCAACACAACATAGAGATAGCCGCATTGTTCCATTACCTGGCAAGACGCTTGTCATCCAGTTACGAGAAATTAGCAGAGCTTGCCGCTGCGGGAATGGCAGATCAAAAGTATTGGGCGATGCTTTTCCAACTAGACGACATAGTCGTAACGACCCACAATGGCCAGTCTCGAGCATTCATGGTATCATCTTGTCATCTAGTTTACCAAAACACGTTGATCATGAATTGCCGGTCGTGGGAATACGATGGAAACTTCTTTCGAAAGCAAACCACCCTTTCACATGTTTGGCCTTCTAGCTCAGAGCAGATCCAAATTACGGAACTTCCAGTGTATCCTCTCCGCTACGCAGCAGATGGAGTGGAGTCCGAATTACGAGACCGAGGCGAAACCTTCTGGGCATGTCGGCGACAAAAGTACGTAAACTACAACGTGCCACTTCAAGGCCTTGGCTCACAGTTGGTATGATGTCGAATTCTTTTATCTGCGTCCGTCGCTTACACCGCTAGGCTAATTTGCGGTATATGGTTGACATGGAGGCTTACAAGTTAATGCACGGCAGCGATGATGACCCAACAACTCGCAATGAGCTCAGTGACGATGCAATGGAGAGTGACAAGCCTCCCAGCAGCTCTTTCACCCTCATGTTACCTGCTACGATACACGGATACGGGTTTCATGATAAGAAGTGGAGTAAGTAAGCGAAACCCCTTGGACCCAGCAAGATTCATAACAAGAATGCAGAAGTTTTATTTGTAGAACACATCCGAGATATCAAATGGAACAAGGAGGTTTTTGAGCATCAACTGGTTCTTCAAGAAGGCAAGAAAGAGCTAGTAAAGGCTTTAGTTTCAGTGCACATTGAGAAGGATGATACAATTGGAACCGACTTCATGGACGGTAAAGGAGAAGGACTGATCGTCTTACTTCACGGTGGGCCAGGGACTGGCAAGACTCTAACAGCAGAGAGCATTGCAGAACTCGTTGAACGTCCACTATACAGAGTCACATGCGGTGACATTGGCACAGATGCCGAGAGTGTTGAGAAATATCTTGAGTCAGTCTTGTACATCGGCAGCAACTGGAAATGTGTCGTCCTGATGGATGAAGCCGACGTGTTCCTGGAGGAAAGGACTAAGTTGGATATGCAGCGCAACGCTCTCGTGTCTGTATTTCTTAGAGTTCTGGAATACTACAACGGAATCCTCATCCTGACGACGAATCGTATCGGCACCTTCGACGAGGCTTTCAAATCTCGCATCCAACTTGCGCTCCACTACCCACCACTGGATAGAGATGGCCGTTGGGAGGTCTGGAGGAATTTTGTCCAATCGCTGTCAGAAACTGGAGAGAACATCAACACGGGAGAGATCAGCAAGAAGCTTGATATCCTCGCACGACATAAATTGAATGGTCGACAGATAAGGAACACGGTAAACACAGCTCGCCAGCTGGCGCGTTACAAGAAGGAAACGATACGCTATGCACATATTGACCAAGCGATTGGAGTGGTCAATGAGTTCGAGAAGTACGTTACCGACGTACACGGCCATGATGATGAGGAGTATGCGCAGGATCAAGGCTTAAGGAACGATCAAGCCTTGCGCGATGTAGACTGATCAAGGTTCCGCCATTCACAAGCTTGTTTCATATCTTTCCCCGTCTTGTTTCATCCTTTGCTATGTCTCCTGTTGCGGGGTTGACAATATCGGCCTCCATCGATATTGCGGGATCTGGGTCATACTCGGATTGAACCTGAACTTCCTCTTCATGCCCATATCATCAGAAGACTGCTAAGAGAGCTGCTCAATTTGTCACGTGGACGTGATCTTGACAGTGGTCCGCAAATCTTCAAATTCGGTGACCTTGATCAACTGTCGGTTAAAGATCTCAACTCCAGATCTGACTTCTCACGTAGCTGGGCACGTGGATTCTGTTGGTGCCATACCCCGTTGTCTTGTACCTTGATCCTGGCTCCCTAAAGTCTTTTGAGTAGAGGAAATTGAAATCGTGAATACTGCCCCGAAGCAGTGGTGTTGATACTGCCAGTCGTATCTAGGTATCTGGAGGAAGGCCGTGATCGGCTATCGGGAGACTGCATTGCCGACGCGCTAGTATCGTGACGCACTCAACAAATGCCTATCATCCAGTACCAGCACTGTTTGTATTTATTTTCTTCGATTTCGGCATCTCACTCTAGTCTTAAGGTAGTAGGATCCTGCGCATCAGTACATGCCTCCAGCGCTAGACTGTTCTAATTACCTAAGCAGATTCACCTACCACGTTCCAGGGTGTGCGTTCGCCGCATCTACAGCCGAACGGCTCTAGGCCTTTTGCGACCTTCATTGGAATGCAGTCTGGCGGGTCGAGATTTGAGAATGCCTATACGCACTTCTAGACACTCTAGGAGAATTCTAGATGCAATAGGCCGGCGGAGCACGATCCCTGGCCAGTGAGAGGGCACCACAGCGGCATTAGCCTGGCACAGCCCACACCGGCTAAGTAGCGAATCCTACACTAGCTTCTCATCGACCCGCAAGACTAATTGCCGCCTGTGTCGAGTCGATTCGCCTCGTGTGGCGATCGCAAACTTTCGCTCCACACCCCACGATGTCTTGATGCTTGGTGAATGCAAATGGTTGCCGTTCTTTCATCACGCTTTTGATGGCGGAGCATGGAGTCTGAGGCAGCTTGTGGACGTCCTCGACCTTTTATGGCGTAGTGCCCTGGGTTACGCATCATGAGTCAACAACCGAACGACCGCAGGGAGACCAAGACCGATCGCCATGGGATGAGGAGAGAACGAGACGTGCTGCTACTCTATGGCGCAGCCTTTCGCAATATCCCACGCACCGACAATGTGGAAAGCCATGTACCTCGGCCATCCTTGGACTCAACTCTGACAGCCTTGTGTCAACTTACCGCCATTCGGATGGGAGCGCAACGGTCCATGATATCACTCCTTGACGAAGAACGCCAACACATACTTGCGGAGGCAACTTGTGATCTACCTCTGCAACCAGATGCTCTGGGTGATGCTTCAAACACCCTCTGGCTTGGGAACGTAAGCATTCCGCGAAGTTGGGGTATATGCGAAAAGGTCTTGAAATTGGGTCCAAACGTTGAACCTATCCTGGTCATCAGTGATCTTACCACAGATCAACGTTCATGCTTCCGAGAAGATGTCCAAAGCAATTCCGATATGCGCTTCTACGCCAGCGTCGCATTGAAGTCTCCAAATGGTGCGACAGTTGGAACGCTTTGCATCTTCGACAACAAGAGCCGAGACGGTCTTTCCAAAGAGGAAGCCGAACTATTTAAGGACCTTGGTTCCACGGTTGTTAATTATCTGAACATATACACAATTAGAGACCAGTACAGACGGGGGGAGAGGTTCACACGCGGTCTTGTCTCTTTTGCTGAAGGCGCATCTGCTTTGGTACCTTTCGAGAGAGAAGTTCGGCAAGATTCGGCATTACCTTCACAAACATCATCTGATATATCTTCTACAACGGACAAGGAGATAGTGTCTACAGACGACGCCGAAAAGGTACACGAAGGTGTCGAGTTAAACGAGACTACTCCCAATCATCCCCTATCAGCGATATCAAAGACAGCTCGTGCTAAATCCGCCCGGCACCGATCAATACGTTCGCTTCGTAAGCAGCATCTTTATTGAAGTTATATGTGAGATAAAGGCTAATTGATACACCAAATCTAGAGGACTCTATCCTGCCCAATGACTCAAAGTCCATGTTCTCACGTGCTGCGAACGTAATTATGGGCTCGAGCGACCTGGACGGAGTGCTTATACTCGACGCGAGCGTTGCGGCGAGCGGTGGACGTCGTCGTGCCAACAGCGCCTCAGGAAGTGGTACTGAGGCTCCTTCCGAATCATACCAATCTAGGTCCTCCAGCGACGATGCAAGCTCGAACAGTACTGAGGAACATCAGCGCGGCTCTTCTTCATCGAGTTCCAAGATGTGTCAGCTGCTTGGTGTGGCCACTCCGAGCGACAAAGAGAATCCCGAGTATGGGACATTGTTAGAGCCCGACCTGTCACGTTTGTTCCACGAATATCCACATGGCAAAATTTTTACATTCTGCGCCGAAGGTCATTCTTTGTCCTCTACTGAGGAGTCGACATCGAACCCTAACGATACTGAAAATCTATCACCTGCTACATCATCGAAGCGCAAGACCAACGGCCGGCCACAGCGAGGATCGACTGCTATCCAAGCCATGTTCCCTAAAGCACGCAGTGTCGCTTTTGTTCCCTTTTGGGATTTTGAGAGGGCTCGATGGTTTGCTGGTTGCCTATGTTGGAGCAATGATGCGTATCGATTGCTGTCCGCTTCAGTGGATTTGGCATACTTCAAGATTTTCAGCCATTCCATCATGAGGGAATTGTCCAGGCTAGATGCTGTAGCTTTGAACCAGGCAGGTACTATGAGACGGAGAATCTGACACAAACTAATGGGTCATTGTAGGCTAAAACGACGTTTGTCGCTTCCATATCACATGAACTTCGTTCACCTCTACACGGCATCCTGGGTACGCTGGAGTTCATCAAAGACACCCCCCTCGATTCATTTCAGACCAGTATGATGAACTCTTTGCATGCTTGTGGTTCAACTCTTCTCGATACTATCAACCACGTCATGGACTATGCCAAGATTAGCGATGCTAAGAAAAGCGTGTCCTCCAAGAGACTGAAAAATGCGAATACGATACGACTATCTTCGAAGCCATTGAAGAACCGTCGAAGAAAAGATCTCGCATTTGATCTTACCATCGCAACCGAAGAAGTCGTGGAAGCTGTCTTTTCTGGATCCTCATATATCCCGGTCACCTCAAAGCTCGTGGAAGCGCCTTCATCGCCTACGGACGAATACGCAATTCCGTTTCCGCAACGTAAAGCACGGTTTATCATTCTAGATATGGCTTTCGATGATGACTGGGTCTTTTCATTTCCGATTGGGTCTTGGAGAAGAATAGTAATGAACTTATTCGGCAATGCTATTAAGTATACCGACACTGGATACATTCATGTTTCTTTGCGTTCGAGCAAACTAACAGAGAACACAAACGCCCCCACTGCGATCACACTCACCATCACGGATACCGGCTCAGGTATGAGCCCCGGGTTTCTTGCAAATCGGATATTCCATCCGTTCTCCCAGGAAGATTCCCACGCGCCGGGTACAGGCTTAGGCTTGAGCATAGTAAGAATTCCGGCATTCAAAGTGCACATGAGACATACACTAACTTCTTACACTATATGTAGGTCCGACAGATCATCGATACCAACGGTGGCAAGGTTGAGGTCAGCAGTGACCCCCAAGTCGGCACCAAACTCATCGTCAAACTCGCCCTTACCAGACCCGAAGCTCCTGTCTCGTTGACAGCGGAAAGAGCGCAATACCTGTCTCACCTACCGAGGCTAAAGGGGCGGAGAATATGCATCCTTCGCAAGAAAATAGCGGGACCAAGCGAGAATACTAGCGTCTCAAAAACGGACGAAGGCCTTCTTCGCTTCACCAATGCGCTAGCCTATACCCTGGAGACGCAGCTCAAGATGCAAGTTGTGAAGACAACCGAGTGGGAAGGCCACCATGCAGATATCGTCATCTGCCCTGAACTGTCTTTTGATTATCTCGCTACGATTCGGAAACGAAGAGCTCACGGTCAACGCGCCCCAGTAACCGTCTTCGTCGGGATGGATGCACTCGAAGCTGCTACCCTCCGTTCTGATGTCCGTGTGACAAATCGGGAATCTGTCGTTGAAATTATCACCCAACCTTGTGGCCCTTACAAGCTGGCCTATGTTCTCAATCGATGTCTGGACCGCTTTGATCATCCAGCCGAAAACTTGCAGTACACTGCCCCAACTAGCCAGTTACTACAGCCCTTGTCGCAAGAAATCAAGCAGCATACCTATCCCTCCTCACCGACCAACTCATTGCAAAGCACCCTTGAGTCTTTAAATTCGGACGCGTCTGGACCGGTCGCTTCATCTACAGCTGGATCCACTACTGCGCAGCCTTCGGTTACGTCGCCTACCGAAGAAGAGGATCCTGTGATATCGCATACGCTCATTGTCGACGACAATTTGTTGAACCGAAGGCTTCTCATAGCATACATGAAGAAGAACGGACTTCAATTCGAAGAAGCATCAAATGGGCAGGAAGCTTTGGACAAGTATCGGGAAGGGTCGCGAAAATTTGATGTCATACTGATGGATATGTCCATGCCAGTCATGGACGGCATGAGCGCCACACGTGCCATTCGCGAATACGAACGAGATAATAACATGCCAAGGTGTTCTATCGTTGCGCTTACTGGCTTAGTATCATCAAGTGCTAAGCTAGAAGCATGGAGTTCAGGGATTGATCATTTCATGACGAAGCCGGTCAACTTCAAGGCGCTTGGAGAGCTTCTCAAGAACGATGAGACACGGAGGCATACGAGAATGAGAAGTACGGGAATTATACGGGATGCGGCTAATATAACCTCTGAAGACGGCCAAGCGACATGAAAGCTCATGTAGTACATTCATCGACTCTATCCGAATAACACTCCACTCACGTTAGGGTGCTGGAGTAGCTACCATGTACATGGCTTTTATTGCCTCAGGAAAGCGACTGCATTCGCCGCTATCCAGTACATTTAGCAGACGCTACGCCGCTATGGCCACAGCTCAGCATACTGTGTCCACAAGAGTAGATGATGGACGCGTAGACTTCTCTCCTGTACTACGGATCACTGCCATGTCAGGAAAACCCCGAAATCAAGTACACAGTGCAGTATGCACAATCAAACATTCATGTATCCTGCGTCTACTTTTCTAGTCTTCCGTGACAGCCACTTACAACTTCTGCAACACACCATATACCCATACTCTCAATCAACTTCTTACTTTCGAGCAGAATCGCAAGAATAACTGGGTTTAGTCTAATGTGACGATGAACTGCGGCTCTTCTAATCCATACATCACTCTCCCATCTAACACCCAGTTGAAAAGACAAGCTCCACATCCTGATAGCGCACCGAAAGGGTTGAGCTCCACTAACTGTACGCCCCCGTTTCTCTGTAAGGTAACATCAAAACTGAAACCATACCTTAGCAACAACTCCGTGATTTCCTCACTAAGCTCCTTTGTGTAGGCTACGATGTCCTCTAGAACCTTCATTGCACCCAGGCTAACCAAATCCACCGTCTGTTGCAAGTCAAACCCCCATGGCGCTTGAAATGCTTTCGGCCACCTATATTGGCTGATCGCACTAATCGCAAACTCCGTAGCATGTGGTTTCCTTGTATTCTTCGCAGCAGGTGGCGGCACAAAAACTCGAAACTCTTTGTCAGGATCCATACCCTCGTTCCAAGGGTTCAGCACAAGCTTGATCTGCATCTCCCTGTCTTCCGTCTTCGCGTCGTCGAATTCACGAGTCAGACAGCCATACGCGCGCATGCTGGTACAGATTCTCGTGACGACCTCGTGGATGGTTGAGCTAGGCAACTTGCCGCCCATGGGAGAGTCTTTTGGCGACATCTGATCAAGTCGAATAAACCATTTCCTCTCACCGTCAAGCAGTGTTGCTAGTTTCTTCCCTGACTTCGTACACTTCAGCATTTCGACGACATCATCGAGAAGGGACGTGTGAATTCGATTTGTCGCTACCCAAGCGCTGTGACAACGCAGAAGGTCCTCATAAAGAAAGGTGGGAAGGAGAATTTCATGATGTTCGCTTAAGTTTTGCGATTTGGCGATGAGCGGATGCCAAAGTGTATAGCCGTATGGTTTCCAGGGTGGTGTTTCGTGGATGAAGTGCGCGTTTGAGGGCACGACAGGCGCGATTTCGTCGAGGCGATGATGCGCGGTAGAGAAGCGTTGGGAGCGAGAAGATGGGTTGGACGAGTCTTGGATGGCTTGTATGGCGGCGGTATCGGCCGCGACGAGTGAATAGGGTATTTTTCGGAGCTGCATTGCTGTGGATTTTCTGAAAATTCGATGGAAAGAGTCGTTTGGATGGTCGAGAAGAGGATGTAGAGATAGTGAGTATGATAAATTACCAGAGACTAGAAAACAGATGCAGCCTTTGATCTTGGTCCGTGAAGATGCGTACCGTGGTTGCGATGTAATCACATATCCATATCTGGAGAACAAAGGGCGCAACCAAGATCTCATCACTGCATAACTCGCCGTCCAGGCTGACCTAGTGTGATTCGGAAAGATGCACAAGCTTTATCAGGAAGTAGAAGGGTCGGCTGATCACAATAGGTATTGTGTTCCTGGTTATCTCTTAGTTACATCTCCTCCAAACTATCAACATGGTTATTCTGATACCACCGGGAGGTCACAGATGGAACTTCGATGCACAAGCAATCGATCGATTGACAAAATTGTTTCCGTCACAACCTCCTGCTCCATACCATCTTCTATGCTGAACTACCTCAACAAAGCCTACTCCGACGCGTTCATTACAGGTATCTGTTCACTGTCATCGTTCACAAAGCTCAGAGGGAAAAACATACCTCAGTGTGACTCTTTCCGTTCCCAGCCTAAACCAAGGCCATAACCGTTTGTGCTAAGCTACCGAGCCGCACATACCCACTCACCCATTCATTACAAAAGGGCAGAAAGAAAACCAGACTTACCATCTTGGAAGCCTCCATATGGCGGCATGGACAGTACTAGACAATCTTTCTTCATAGAAAACAATACTTACACACACAAACACATCTGACAACAACAAATTCCCGACTCTGAGGGCTAGGTTGAAGTCTCCTTGTTCATGCGGGGGCATGTCTGTCCTTTGCTGGCTGTTTTTGACTATCGCAAGAACAGATGTGTCAGTTCCTCCGCGCGAAAGCGAATGGGTCAATGGGCCGGAGGTCTGCCGAAAGGGAACGGGGGTGGTCAAAAGAATAAGAATAAAAACAAATCAAATAATGAAGACATTTTTGATGCCTTGTGTCTCTCGTGTAAAGTCTCCCGTCAAAGGTTCACAGTCGGACGGATGCCGGAAGTGGTTGATGGGGTTTCGCTGGGTGCTATGATATTGTGGTGGGTGGATAGGTTTGACGTTGCACCCTTCTTGACATTATAACTATGAGCTTGTTAGCGTCAAAATTGGGAAACCAATACGATGGGGTTGAAGGGGATGAGTGGGTTGTGGGCGGTTGACTACTTGAAAGGAAGACGATAGGAGAGGAAGAATGGCCGCTTATATGTATACAAAAGGCATGTGTTTGCTGTCTCACAAGTGATATGATCAAGAAGCGCTTGTCCGAGACTCTTGTTTCTGCTCGCAAACTAGAGGACTTGCCGGCCTGATCAATTTGCTGTTTCTTTGTCATAGTAATCACAAGCACGTTCATCCAGGCTCTTTAGGATAATTGCTCAGAGGCATACCCATCACTCGTTGCCCTACGTGGTCTGGCGTATTCACAGCAAGCAGAAGACGGAGAGTAAAAAGAGGAACACCAAGAACACTATATCTTGCCATAGCCAGATGTACAGTAATTTGATTACATTTTCCTGCCTATCCTACGGAGGGGCCTCGACAGCCCATGGTACTATATCTCCAAATACGCCAGTCCCCTTGAACGCTAATGCAGGAAACCAAGAAACAACAAACACCATAATATCGTCCAACTGAGAGTAGCGTTATGAGTGTGGGGCATAGGGGGTGTATACAGAAGGCGCCACAAATTCGTCAAGCACATTGCTGCTTCTTTTGCGTCATGTGCTTCCCACTGGTGCGCTCCACAGCGCCGAAGATGAAGGCCCTGCTATCGCTGCGGTCGAGCTTTCAGACATCATTGTCGGCGAAAAGCGGACACGAAGAAGAAAGAGAATAATCCCTAATGTATTAGGGATTACCTCTTCTTGCTTCCCGGCCTCGGCTTGCACTCGTCCCCTAGAATGGGGTGAAGCTTGATCTTGATAGGGTAGTTTTGTGTGTTGCCACCGAAACCCTTGCTCCAATCGTAACTGACGGCGTAAGCGAAAATGTTGCCGTCCTTGCTGAAGCCTGTTGCGACAATGCTGCCGCCGACCTCGGGGTAGCCCTTGAGGCGGTGCTTGGCGTCCTTGTCCCAAAAGTGGAAAGTTCCGTCGGAACCTGCAGTGGAGAAGGTGCCGTGTTGTGGGTGGAAGGATATGGCGTTTACTGAGTGGACCTTGGCGATGTCGCGGTTGGCGGGGTCTTGTTGGCGATGGCACTTGAATGAAAAGTTGAGGCTATTGAGACGTTAGATGGTGGGAGGGTGAATGCGCAAGGAGAAATGCTTACCTGGTATCCTTTTCTTCGACATATTGAATAGCGCATCGTCCTTCGATGGAGCCGACGGCAAAACCAGTCGCATCCGAGAAACAGCTCACAACCCTTGTCTGCCACTTGAGAGGGCTGGTGATGGTCTTGTAGATAGTTGTGGGGTTTGAGAGGTTCACCATGTGGATATGGCGCTCAGCGGTCGCGATGACTAGCAGTTGATCTTTGACGTCCATGCTGTAGACACGCTCCTGGCACGTCAGTGTACCGACTGGCTCAGCGCCTTGGAGGTTCCAGAACTTGACGGTCTTGTCCCAAGAACCAGTAGCGACATAGTCCTGGCCTCCAGTCTGGAACCAGCGGACGCACTTGATGCCATTCTCGTGGGCTTTGGCTTGTTGCGCAGGGACGGTACCGCTGGCAGGGGCGGTGCGGAGGTCGACAATGTTGAGCATGCCTGTTGAGTCGCCGGCTGCGATACGAGTGCCATCCTACGTCTTGTTAGCATCCGGTTACCGCATTTGCATGGCATCAGTAAACGTACCTTTGACCATCCCAGACCCAGAACATGACCCGGGCATTCGAACATCCACTTTCCTTGCGCACCGTTGCCGTTGACCTCGTAGATGTAGACCTTCTTGTCCCAGCTTCCCACTGCAAGGAAATCGTTGGTCGGCGAGAATTGAAGGTCAGATATGCTGTCGCTGGGTACTTGGCCGGCGGGCACCTCGACGTCTTTGCTGGTGTCGCCTGTAGTGGAGCTTGCAGCGGGAGCTGCCGCTTGACCGAAAAGAGCCATCTCTTGCGATTATGTCGTGTGGACTGGGCGCGTTCAAATCGTGGGTGTTGGTGGTTGCGAAGCTTTGCGCGAGCTCGCCGTGTTGATATCCTGGGCAAGAAAAGATGAAGCGTTTGTACGCGCTTGTCGGGAACCTTGTAGTCGCAGGGAGGTGTTTCCAAGCTGGTGGCAGTGAGTGACAGGTAGCGCGCGAGGGAGACGGGATAGCCTTTATGTTCTTCACCGACGACGCGCTCAGCAAAGAAAGAGCCGATGCACGAAGCTTCCCAGGCACCCTTGCAGGCGCCAGTCCGCTTCCGCCTAGCCAGCCTGCCCGGCGTTACGATCCCCCGGCCTCCGCCCCATCTAAAAAAGTTTCCGCCCTCCAACCTGATTTCTTTCTCCAACGTTCCTCGCTCAAAGAATCGCAACGAAGCACACGCACGGAGCGCCTCTCGAGGTGTCTCTTTTCGCGCTTTGGGAGAAAGTCCCCGGACAACGATCTTCGCGATCGCACTTTCAGCAATGAACCGCCATAGAAGCCGCGGCTTCCATTACCGACTACGACACTTTCCGCGTCTCTTTACCCGTTCGCACTCCTTTTCGTCGGCTATCTGGAGGCTGTGAGTGGAGGGGCTGGCACCTGGATGACGATATGAGTCCGTTGGCTACCTTGCTCACTTGCTGAAGAGCGCCTGGCAATCTGGAGGAGGAGGGAGACATCGGGGAGGGCCAGGTATGGAGGGTCTTTTCGTCCAGTTTGATGGTTATGCGATTGCCTTCCTGCACTTTGATAAAACAAGGTGACATGGATGGTAACTCAATGGGGCTTATTCTTGATGCGAGGAACGTTCATCACCACACACTTTTCGGATCTGAGGGTAGACGCTCTCTGACAACGGTCGGAGATGACGTGCTACGACGTGCTTGGTCGAACAAGCCAGATTCATCCAGCCATATACGGTTTATATGATGAGACACATGGAAATAGAGTCAAGCTCTGAGGCTGTCTGAATCCCAAAGCGGTAGGACGGCCTTTGCTGAATTTTCTACGACGGTATCTGATAAACCTTATGGCTTAGATAGTTTTCTATCAATCGAAAAAAATCAAAGACATTGTCCTAATTCTGCTTTCTCGACTTGTTGCATGTGGTATCATAAATGTTTCGTGTCTACTTTGGTCCTTTTCATGCCTCAGTGCCGACAACAAACTCCTTAACCTCCTTGTATGCCTTGTCCAGGTCGTCGTTGATGACGATCTTGTCGTGCGGCGCCTGTCCACTGTGCGCAAACTCCATCTCGACCTTGGCCTGGTTGAGCCTCTTCAAGATAGCCTCCTCCTTATCCGTTGCCCGACTCCTCAATCGCTCCTCCAGGATCTCCATTGACGGTGGTTGCAAGAACAGGAATCGCGGGCGAGGGAATGTAGGGTGGTTCGCGACTTGCTTGACGCCCTGGACCAGCACATTTCAGTTCACATGCACATTGTAAAAAGTAACTAGAAGAACATACCTCCATCTCAATATCCAAGATACAGATCTGGCCCCTCTCTGCGATATCATTCACAGCCCTGATACTAGTACCGTAGTGGTTTCCTCCGAACTGCGCATGCTCCACGAATCCCTTCTTCTCTACCAGATCAAGAAACTCTTCCTTGGTCACAAAGTAGTACTCCTTGCCATCTTGTTCGGTTCCCCTGGGGCCACGCGTTGTGTGCGATATGCTGAAACCAAATTTACCTGGGAAATCGTCAAAGAGGCGCTTGAGGATGGTGGATTTGCCGGCGCCCGAGGGACCAGAGATCACAATGGGCTGGTTGGCGGCGAGGGCGTCTCTGGAAATGGGGACAGAGTCGATAGGCGACATGGTGGAGGTGTTGTGGGTGAAGGTGCGGAAAGAAGGTGTGTTGTGGACGTTTTTGGGATGGAGATTAGACAGGGAGGGGTGAGTCAGGCGTAGATGCGTCGGAATCTGTAGGTCGATGCTTCGTGACTCTCTCAACAGGCTTCTGGTGATTCGCGATAGAATCAATGGCATGCCTCTCGTGGATTTGGAGCTGCCGGGCGCTGCGGGGTGTGATTGGCGGTGAAGCTAAGGGGTCTTTTGGTGTTTGGTGGGGCTGCAAGTGGGATGGCGGCGGGACCTGGTGACATCGCGTTTTCGTGTTGGTACTGACCTCATCGAGCTGGGATTTAGCTTTCCACTCCATTTTCCGCTCATGTCACGGTGATTGCGCCTAAGAAGCAGGCCCTTAGAGTTGCGAACCAGTCGCCATGGTATGTTGCTTTCTGTGCGTTGCATACGTCATTCTAACAACCCCAGTCGAAACAATACCTCACCCTCCACACTGTCGACTCGGCGCATCCCAAAGCGAGCGATGTCTTCGCCGTAGCACCGACTAGCACACAATTGCTCTCAGCTTCCGGCTCAAGTAGCATCAACGTCTATGACACCACACAGGCCGAGTTTCCTGTAATACAAACACTCGACAAGGCGCATCCACTCGGTATACACCACCTCGTGACCGCGCGGGAAGAGAAGGCACGACGGGCCGCAAGCGCAGGCTTCGAAGGCAAGGTCAAAATATGGAGCCAGGACGAGGATGGCGTCTGGAGTGAGGACGGAGAGATTGTTGGTGGGTACGCCTCATGCTTTCTTTGAGATCGCAGGAAGTGTTGTTCTAGTGAGCCAGAGTGGGCTGACCTTGTCGCAGATCAGAACAAGCCGGGTGAGATATGGGCGATTGCACTGAGTGCAGATGGCCAGTACCTCGCGAGCACCAGCATAAACGGCAAGATTAACGTCTGGAGTCTGAACAAAGAAGAAGGAATGCCTCGGATACGCGAGTATGAGACCAAAGGCAGCTTTGGGCTCTGCGTAGATCTGGTAAGCTTCGCCACCCTCTACCTATTTTTGTCAACGACGAACATGCTGACGTACATATCAGAGCCGCGATGGTACCTTCACAGCCTCCGGTCACGAAAACGGGTCCATATACGTCTTTAATAATGAAACTGGTCGTCTTGCACACTCCTTGGCCGGTCTCGTACACCCAGTCCGCAGCGTAGCCTTCTCCCCAGCATCCAAACTCCTAGCTGCGGGAGGCGATGCTCGAATCATCGCACTCTACGACGTCACATCAGGCGAACAAGTCGCAAACTTCACCGGACATGGCGGCTGGGTACTCAGTTTGGATTGGAGCGACACAGGCGAATATTTATTATCAGGGTCAGCATCATTCCATTCGCTCTAACCATGAATGCTCACTAACGTCTTATGTCAGATCTCACGACTCAAAGGCAAAAGTATGGCGCATAGAAACACGGTCATGCGTTGCCACGCATTCTCACGGCGATAAACCTCTCTGGAGTGCAAGATGGCTGCCAAAGTCACCTATGAAGAGTGAGATGTTTGCACTGGCTGGAGGGAACAACTCAATCAGCTTTTACCGTGAAGCAGCAGGTTGAACAATTATCGACCTTTGTCTCAAACAACGAGAAGTATCAAAATAGCTATGCATCCGTAATAGCAGGGATGGACATGCGGATATTACGAGAAAGCTGCTGTAGCGTAAAGCGTAGTCTTGCAAGACTGCCAACCTGTATGCGCGGAGCGGCAAGTGGTAAGCTCTGTATAATTAAAACAACTGAACGACCATCACATGTGCTATACACTATGCATATCTCCAGTGCAACATATCTTTTGCCAATGTAAAACAGGAAACCAAACTGAAGACTTGAAGATAGGTACGCTTCCAGTAGATTTTGGAGAGGCGTGTCAACATGGAGCCCCGCATGTCCTTTTCTGGACCGACGACAAGTGTAGGTATGCCAATCTTTGGTAAACATATTTCGATTGTTTCATCATTTTCTTCTACTACCATCACCATCGAAGTAAAGATATCAGCTGGTTGCGAAACATGACAACCGCTCATTGCCCCCAGGAAGATAACGACCATCAGAGATATGCATACTCCTGCTAGAGCATTTCCTTGTCATCGCTCCTTCGTTGAACGCCTAAACACCGATTCCGCACCATGTAGAGAACGCCTCGTCCGCTAAGACCAAAGTAAAAGAGCCTAGTCGAAAGAATATTGAAAAGGCGGTCAGTTGCATACCTTACGTACTAGCAACACCAGTATTCTCAGCACCAGGTGGCGCATCAACCCTCTGCTTCTTAGCGTCTGGACCTTCAACACCCGCAGCCCCGTTAGCACCCACATTACTGACATCCTGTAGCGCTGGCCTTTCTCTCTTAACACCACCAGGACCGGCGCTGTTCATTGTAGGTGGCTTGTATGCGCCACGGTTCGCGCTAGGACTCATGGCGTAGTTTGGTGCGCCAGGCATACCAATCCGGCGGTTGGCATCCATTTGTGGGTTTACAATATTGGGACGGTTGAAGGAGCCAGTTGATGTAACGCCTGGTCGTTGAGGAGGTGGTTGAGGTGCAGGCGGCGCACCGACTGCGTCACGCTTGATGGGAATGCTGCGAGCGTGGTCGATTCCGGGTGTGCGTTTCTCTTTGGGTATGGGGGAATCGACGTTAGGATTGAAGGATGGAAGATTGCTGAGCGAAGTTGCGTCTGATGCTTGGAGAAGCTCCGCAGCACGAGAGGTGACGAAGCCTACCGGGGGACGGTGATTAGGAGGAGGTGCGTTTGAAGCAGGTGTGGTCGATTCTGAGGGTTGGGGTCCTGGACGTGTTTGATTTGGTGGTTGATGTGCTTGGGGTGGTGTAGGCCGGAGAGGTTGATTGTTGGGAGCGAGTTGTTGATTTGGTGGTGGTTGTTGTCCTAGAGGTCTTGAGGCAGCTCCGTTTTCCATTGCTGGTGGAGCCATGCGACCACCGTTCTGCACAGGTCGAGCCTGTTGTTGAATTGGAGTCTGTGGATGCCTTCCGTTCTGCATAGGGAGCCTTCCAGGTGCTTGATTCGGTTGCTGCTGTTGCATACCAGGATTTCCACGTCCGGCTTGTGGAGGCCTGCCATTTGGTTGACGAGGAGGGCCCGTATTCCGAACAGGTGATGTGCGAGCAGATGGTACACCGTTTGGTTTCGCCGGCCCGGCTGCCCATGATGCTGTGGTTTCTGAGGCTGACAATGTTTCGGAGAATGAAAATTCGTCACCGTGGCCCTCCGTGACATCGACTCCATCAAACAAGTTCTCATCAGCATCGTCGTCGAAGTCAGCGCCAAAAGATTCGTTGTTCAAGTGATCGGTACGTGTGCGAAGGATCTGGTTGGGTCGGGATGGTGTTTGCTGTGGTTCCTGCTTGACCACGGCTTGCTCTTCAGGCTGGGGTGGCGGTTTGAAGTCGACGTGTCGGTAGAGACTGTCCTCTTGGAATTTGATGGGCTTAACCTTCATAGACTGAACTTTTTTGAGATACTCTTTGTCGTACAAGCAGTTGCCGAGTACGTTGCCGAACGTACGTAATGAGCGTTTCAAGCCATCTGTCGCCGCCTCTTTCTTGGCCTTCTCAAATGATGCGGCTTTGCCTTTGCCGTTCTCTATCGAGCCATAGCCAATGTCCTAACGAGCTATCAGTAGGAGTCAGATTGAGGATACGACGTATTTACCTCGTGATATGTACCATCCTTGAGTGTGATTCTCACCACTATTGAGAGACCCAAGCTGACCTTGCCGTTCTGATGCTCATCGACCTGCTACTGTCAGCATGTATTCCCTAGCCAGTGAAGTGAGCACATACGTAGTCAATCTGCACCTGCCCCAGCGAGCTCGACCAGCCATTGAACCCAAAGACTTCGTTCGCCAACGCTATTGCCTTATTTCCCTCCAAATACGCCACCTTGCCGCCGCCATTACCCGGTCGTTGTGATATGTATTCAGGCCCGAGTTGCTTGTTCAACCTGCTCTGTAGTGTCGCGATTTCCGTTGCTGTAAAGCCATTTACGACGCGTTCTTCGAAGGGGTTCTTGACGTTGCCGCCGCTGTACTGGTCGCCTGGCCTGCGTGATCGTTAGTCAACATTATTGGTATCAGAAAAGGTATGATTAGAAGACGCGTGAAGAGACTGTACGTACGCAGGCATTGTTGTCGTTACGAGTTGCTGGGCATGGGTCGCCGCTTTGCTGAAGTTGAGGCCTGGGTGGCTGAAGATGACGCGCCTTGGGAGGGCAGGAACGCGGTCACGCTAGTCCCGCGCTCACGTGCTCACAAGGCAGCACCGATCCACCATATACTGCCTACACGGTAACGTCAACAAGTGTCAACCTATGGTTTATTTAACGGGCGAGATGCGCGTCAAGCAATAAAAAAAAATACCCACTTGAGCATTAGGTACGCCTGTATTGTGCAGCAAAGCAAGTCAAATAGGTAATCTCAGCGTCCCGGACGCGTCAACACTGAACATAGTATGATCTGGCGAGACGAAAAGATTCGATTTCGACGTCCCGAGTACGCCTGCAATGCTATATGATATCGGTCCCAAAAAACGTAGTAATCTCAATCTATCCCGATGCTTCCTTTCTTCTGCCACGATCACTGGAGCTAGCCTCCTCATCATCGCTGTCTACGCCCAAAGAGAACGTAGAGTCGTTGTGCGACTCCCTCGTCTTCTCCGAGTTTGCGCGCGCATAACCATTTCCTGGCTTCTTTGGCGCATCGTCAAGATCATCAAGCTCCCGTTCGTCAAAGTCGGCAGCCTCAAGATCCTGCCTGCGTTCTCTTCTCCTGAAGTTGTCAAGGCCCATGCCGGTGAGAAGAGACTCTCGTCCTTCGTCACTGTCGGTACCCTTGTATTCGCTGCTTGCAGCACGCCTACTGCGCCACCACAAGAAGCCGCAGAGGCAGGCAGCAATGAGGACAACGACGAGTGCAGCCTGGCCGGAGCGAGTGTAGGCC